GGCTTGATCTTATGATTTAAGGTATACACTCCTTAAAGGAACCCTGCTCACAGTACCCTTGTAGATACCCAGAAAGGAACCCTATAATAGCACCCTGAAGTGTGCCCTCAGGATATTCCTTAATTAAGGCGGCATTGGGCTCTCCGAGTTCGGGAAAAGACATGCCGCCTGCACTTCGACGGTGCGCTGAGCCTCCTGCTTAGCTCTTTTTTTTTTTGGGGGGGGGGGNNCGGGGGCTTACGGATTTTTCGGGGTTGCGGGGTTCTCTTTGGGGTTCGTTTAAAGGGTCCTTTTAGGGTGCCTTTAAGGAAAAATCGGGGTTTAGAAATGGCATGAGGGCCGTAGGCTTAAGAGGGCTTACATGAACCTTACACCATAAACCCTCAGCCTACATTACAATGCAGTCACCGTACAAGAAACGATTGGATAAGAACTGTAGGGGCTACTGCGTGAACCGGATATTACCAAAAAGCGGAAATCATGGAACGTTCTAACTTAGCTAAGAGGGGTATCCAACGTTTTGGGATCATTTCTTATTTCGGGGGTTTTCCACATAGGGCATGGGGCAAAGGCCAGAATAAGACATGTCGGGGGCTACGTTTCTTATTTCGGGGGGATTCCGGGCCCAAACGCTAGCGCATGGGGCAGAGGCCAGAATGTTTCTTATTTCGGGTGGCTCCATAGGGGGGCTACGTTGCTTGTTTTGGATGGTTTCCATTCTCTAAGCCTAGGGCACGCGGCAGAAGCACAAATGAGAAATGTATAAGGGGCTGCGTTTCTGATTTTGGCTGGTTTTCGATCCCGGAGCCTGGGCTACACGGCAGGAGCCAAAACAAGAAATGTAGGGGCTACGTTCCTTGTTTTGAGTTGTTTCCAGGCCGTAAGCCTAGGGCACAGGGCAGGAGCCACACTAAGAAATGTAGGGGGCTACGCTTCTTGTTTGGCTGGTTTCCAGGCCCTTAAGCCTATGGCACACCGCAGGAGCCGTGTGAAAAATGTAGGGGGCGTAACGTAGCTCCGCAACGATGGAGTTGGGGGCCACATGCTTAGCCCATCTTCTTTTCAAGTACCTGTCAGAGGCAGTCGTCGCAACTACTCATGGTCGTTGGCGTATAATTAGTGTCACTGCAAATGCACCCCCTCCCCAATCCCGGAAATTCTAAAAGTGGAAACCTCAAGTCCGAAATCCGAACGCTCATTTGAAGACCACATGATCTGAAAAAGGAAATCCGATCACGATGCAAAAACGAACTATGGCCAAACAGAAAGCCGGGCACTAGGTACTACCACTATACTCCTCCTCCTCCTCCAGCTACTGCTGCTCTGCTGCGGCTACCGCTACCGCTACCTGACAGGTCCACAAAAACACCAACATCCTGGATATCTTCGTTTCTGGCATTCTGGCCGTCGCAGCCACCGATATGGGGGATGCCCAAAACAACCACAAAAGTCGTAGTCCCCACAAATGCTCATTTTCCAGAACCCGTTTCGGAGACACCTGGAATGAAGGGATGCCCACAAAAGCACCAGATTCGTCGAACTTGCCACAAACGCTCATTTTGCGGAAGCCATTTCGGACGACCTCTCGATTTTGCCGCCGAAATGGAGGGAGGCGCACAAAAACAACGCTCCTTTTCCGGAAGCCATCTCGGAGGACCTTACCGCTACCGCTACTGCTACTACTTACTACTACTTCTGCTGCTACTGACGACTGCGCCGACTACCTTCAGCAGCTGTCGAAGTAGAATCGTGACTCGTCCTCGTCGTACGAGTTACTGAGGCCGTACTTGATAGATCCAGGTTTCCAGATCCAAGTGGCTGTGCGAGCTGGCTAGCAAGTTCCGCGCGCCTTATGTTGGCACAAGTGCTGCAAAAAGGCGAAAAAACATTCTCATTGCACATAGCTTCCAAGGAACAATGCCTCCGCTTGCTTGGAGCTCCGGGCTGCCTGCAAAGACCGGTGGTGCACTGCAGAGGGGGACCTCCGACTGCGAACACAGACCCTCTGGGCACCTCCTGCTGGAAGCCACGGCCCTCCTGCTCCAGCCGGGAAATCTCCTGAGATAAGTACCTACCTTTCCGTGAATTCTGCAATGCAGCGTCAGAAGGAGAGATATGCTGCTCTAGTGCGTCTCTCGCTGCGTCCGGGCCTGTTTGAAGCAGGCCCATGCAAAGCACGAGCAGAATGAATCGCAAGCAAGCAGCCGCAGACTGTTGCGCCAAGTCCCTTTGCAGCGTTGCATTTTCCTTGGTCTATTCCGCACGGAGGCATCCGCATCGTGTGCACTCACGCGATTAGACCAATCCGCATACCTGCGCAAACCCGGCATATCTGAAAAAGCAACAGGACCACTGACCTTTGTCTCAGCGCTGCCCAAGAGGCAAGCTTCAGCTTGATTATCTCGCCTACACACAGCATACAGCATGCAGACAATCCCGTGTCTTCAGCAAATCATCGTAGGGCTTGCGTTAAGCATGACGGCCATAGGAAAACTGCTCACCTTGCATCTTAGTTCATCTGGCCGAGACAACGACGAAGCGACTGCTTGACGGCAGCAGCTAACACTGTGTCAGGTTTGCCGCTGTGCCTGAAAGAAATTCCAAACCTCAGCTGACTGTCACGGAAGTTGCAAGTACAATCGCCGCAAGGTCTGACACGCTGGACAGTAATTAATAATTAATGCGTTTGGTACCAGTTGTAGGCCTCACAGTTCAAAGTGTCCAGTCTAAAGCTGAGGGGCGATTCTCCGACTCTTTCTGCTGGCTCTGTGCTTTAGACAGCCTTGCCGCGCGTGCGATTTGCGACACACACACACACACACTCAGACATCTGCATGGCAGAGCCAAATCGCATACGGCGTAAAAGGACAGACAGACTCCAATTGAAACAGCATGACATGAGCATGGAATGGCATATGGGGTCACCTGGGTTGCTGTCCGCATTCTCTGCTACAACCGGCTTGCCTGGCGTCGCTCTCCGCGACGGCTGCTGCAGCGGCTGCTGTTGCCTCCCCAGCTCGGCGGTTGGATTCCGCGAGCGCCTGCCTGGGCTGCGCTACGGGAACCGTCTCTGGAAAACTGCGGCGAGTTGCTGACAAGGGACTGCGAACCGTCCAGGTCCAGATGCAACTTTGCCAGCTCTCCAGAGATCTGCCTCATGCAGTCAGCCAAGTCCTGGAATGCTGATCGGACTAGTGAGTCACGGTCAAAGCACTCATCAGACTGTGAGTCCGTTGTGGCTCGCTGGAACGATTTGGAAGCCTTGCTTTGTTACAGAAGACGGCAAGGAGTGATAATAACTCTTGTGCAATACTTGTGTGCTGTCCTGGCCCCGCAACAGCACACGAGGACTGCATGCCAACGTCATGCAGCCACAGGCTGGAAATGATGCCCTCAATCATCCACTTGGCTGGCCCGGGCAAACATGTCTTGCATTGCTCTAAGCCTTACGCCATCCCGAAACCAACCTTACCAATGTGCTGTTTGTCGCTAACGTGAGACCGGCTCCTGGCTTTCCGCCTCGGCGCGAGTGACGCGGTCGAAGGCCGCATCCGCTTTGGTCTCCAAGTGCTCTATGGAACTGCGCAGAGGCCTGGGCACATGCAAACCCCGTGGAATTTGAGATTTGAAGACTCCAACTTTTCATCTTCACCATCTGATTCACCTGTACTTTGCGTGCTGGCATGCTTGGATGCGACCAGACCTCTCAGGACAGATGAATACACAGACATATTCAAGGAAGAAATTGGTGAGTCAACAGCTACTGCAACTGTGCCAGCATGGATCTGCTAACAATGACACAGCACCATAACATAACGACTATGACGACCACGGCTACCCTTAGAACCAAGACCACCACGACGACCACCACGACCACGACGACCATCGTGACCACGACCACCAAGAGACCCCGAAGAGACAAGCAGGAGACCTACAGCAGAACACCCAGACACAAAGTGGACCACTTCCACACAAAATACTGGTAGCATTCGCGAGCACAGCTAACTGCTTCCCAAATGCTGGGGGGCGTCAGGACCACAATCAGAGTCATTTCCACCAAGTTTTTTTTTTCGAACGCGCAAGGCTCTCTGTTTGAGCCCATCAGCACCGACTTATCCTAATTCATTTACTGGTGGCTTAAATTATCGTCCCCTGTCCCTTTTGGGCTTGTGTACTACCTTCTGCCAGTACGTACGGTCCTGGCATTTGGGATGGATATAGCGGTATAAGGAGGTGTTGTCCATCCATACTATGCCCGATGCCCTGTGGGCCTGCCGTATTTGTTGGAATGAGGGTACTTCAAAAAAGGCGTGATGTATATGATCGTGAGGAGGTGCCTGGTCTGACATTAAGTGATCAATGCGTTGCGCTGCTTGGGCCATGCAGGATTCGGCCCAGTGTATTTTCGGGCGACCTGATCTGTTAGGTGCCCGGATATGACGATATGCATGAGAATTCATATATGTGGCCTGGCTTTCTATAGATTCAGGGTGCCTATGAATGTGTCCAAATAATTGAAGGCGCTGCTGAGAATATAGTTGGGAGGGAGATTGAACACGTCGGCTAGAATAAGCAAGGGAGGCTAAATATTGGTTAGAGCATTGAGCGTCTGTGGGATCCAATACCCTGTGGTAATATGAAGACTTAATCTTAAAGATACGTCTAAGAGACTTGTAATGGACAGTGTCTAGTTTACGGATTTGTGGAGAAGTCAGCAAAACACTATCCATGGCGTACATCATTACTGTAAGTACTATGGATCGGTATACCGTATGTTTCCAGGAAGGAGGAAGAGAAGCATGTGAGAGGAGCCCCCGTAGCAGTTTGGAAGCTGTAACAGCCTGGGATACCCGGTAGGAGGTATTCTTGCGGTTGCTGTTAGCGGGGTCCAGGTACACCCCTAGATATTTAACTTCATCCGAGAGAGGAACGGGAGCGGGGGGATGGTGTACACCCTGGCAATAACTGCAATCGCACGGCGAGTGATGCTGAGGAGCGTAGTAAATACGCTGTGTGGAATGAAGGCGGAGGTGTTCACATTTGTCTTCATTTAATATAAGGCCTCTTCTGTTGCCTTGGTACTGTACTGTATGAAGAAGGCGGTTCATTTGCTCTGCTGGTTGGTGCTGTCGGCGGTGGTGGTGGCATAGTCCACGTCGGTGCCGTGTGGGAAGTCTGCGGGGTCTGCCACCACGAACTTGCCGCGCAAGGGCTGGGTGCCCACTGCTCATTCCATTGCGATGCCATGTTGCGCGGATGCTGCTAGCGTATACTATCGAAACCTTAACAACAAAAGCTAACAGAAAGCAAGAGCAAAAAAGGCATGGGCTGGCTGCACTGACAAACTGCACTTGCCAGCGCGACGACGTCACTTGATTCATTTTGTGGGCTGCCCGGGCATACGCTGCGAGTCCCGGCGACGTGGCTGTTGCAGAAAAAGGTGCCGCCGCAGAGGAAGAGGTCTCATATGCATAGGTCTCATATGTAATATTGTGCGTCAGAACAGAACTTGCCGTCCTCCAGGCTGAATGTTGGCTGCTCGGAGGTACTGGTTGATGAG